CCTTTCTCAAAATGAACTAAACAACGACAACAAACCAAACCAAAAAGAAAACAACAACAACAAAGTTCTAACTGACATTTTTGTCCGTTTTGAGTGACTAAGACTAAGACCACGAGGTCAGAACCCAAATGTTCTATCTGCTCTATCAAAATCGTAAGATTACTCGGAGTCGTTATCAAGGTATTTAAAGAATTGCTTTCGAAAAAGCTTGACATGTCGTGAAACTCAAAAAAATTTTTAATCATTTTTCTCCAAACTAGGCACTGAGCAGAGAGAAGTTTGTAAATCTAGGGACCTTTTCTTCTGTTACCTCCCTTTGTCTTGAGAAAACTAGAAGAGGCAATGTTGATTAAGCGTGGTGGTGGCAGTGGTGTGTGTGTGTGTGTGTGTGTGTGTGTGTGTGTGTGTGTGTGTGTAAAATAGAGAAAGAGAGAGCGGGAGAGAAAGAAAGATACCGGTAGGGGAATTGTGAAAGTGAAAGAGAAGGAGGAGGGGAGATAGCGAGAAAGATTGAAGATTATAGCAACATCGAGGGGTCAGTTATTTGTTTTTATCAAATTTGTACTCCACTCAGTGCACTAGTCGCTTAAGCCGTTAAGACTTAGTTTAGGTCCATATATATAGATTTCTACATTGCAATAATAATAATACACCAACAAGCTACAATAAATCTCTCTTCTACGTGTGTACAATCCATATCAGGCTTAGTACACTTGGTCTTGTCCGGACTAGTGAAAAAAGCCTGAATATACCAAGAAATATTAGGCCTACTTGCAAAACAAATCTTTTCACTTACAAAACAATATACACATCACCCAGCCACTCCGTAATTATAATTATACACCATCGTATTCAGATAGTCTTTTGCGCTTTTTCAATTCGGTTGGTTGCATTATTAACAATTCTGAAAAAAAAGACCAAAACGATCAATCAACATGATGGTAGGCCTAACACGTTGTACTTGTGTTGCCCTTTACGAACAAAATCTGGCAAGTTTATATTGCCTGTCTGAGTCTCAAACGCCAGGTTCTCTTGTGATTTAATTTGACTATTCAGTGGTCAGGACAGGGAAGAACTTTTCAGGAACTGAACGCTAGGGTGTTGAACTTTCATCAGTCTCAAGGTAGGGACGGCCTGCAGACTGGGAGGACTTCCGTAACGAGCGACCACCCAATCAAACACAAGAAAGAAGAGGCCTTTATCTAACCCTAACCCTACTATCCTAATATCCCAAACCCTAGATCTACTAACCCTAACCTAACCCTACCCCTACCCCTAGATCTGCCCCTACCCCTAGATCTAACATGCGATTAAATGTAGACAGATTCAAACTATTTTTAGGTAAGGCGACTATCTTGTTTGACGTCAGACCAGGATACCCCTCCGATTACGTGACTACATGACATAGATCTAGATCTAGACTAAGTATAGCCAACCGCATGGTACCAAAGATGGAAGTGTTGGTGATCTTATACTTTAGCACGTTAAATTCCCAAACAAGGTGTCTAGTTACCGCCACAAACCATTCGCTGCTCTTTGTTATAACAATTGGTGCCGGTAGGGGGGGGGTGGGGGGTGACGGTATGGGGTGCAATTTTTGAGGGATGTATCTGATGCCGTCACTATAGACTATAGGGTGTGTGAATACTGTGTGAATACTATGAAATGTTATTCGCACAGGGTGTGTGAATACTATGAAATGTTATTTGCACAGGGTGTGTGAATACTATGAAATTATATTCGCACAGGGTGTGTGAATACTGTGTAAATACTATGAAATGTTATTCGCACAGGGTGTGTGAATACTATTCATAAATTATATTCGCACAGGGTGTGTGAATACTATGAAATTATATTCGCACAGGGTGTGTGAATACTATGAAATTATATTCGCACAGGGTGTGTGAATACTATGAAATTATATTCGCACAGGATGTGTGAATATTAAATATTATTACAGGGCGTTTCAAAAGAAGGATGGAAATAATCTAGATTAGATCTAGCATTTCCTCATTTTTTCCTTTTTTCATCCTCTTTCGCGTAGGGACAAAGATCATGGATCACAAGATGGTTGGTTCCTCTTTTTGATGGATGGCATCAGACATGAATTGGGTCGGCCATTGCCATAGGCACAAAATCAAACCTAAGGAGAACGAGGGGGCATACAGAAAGTAATATAGTGTAAAGCGCATAGAGCCTGCTGTTGAGCGGGGATATGCACTATACAAATGCTATCTATCTATTATCTATTATTATTATTACCTTGATTTGTACAATCAACTCATTCCTGCCCCCTCGTTCGTCAACCTGCCCGTACCAGCAAGCTGGAACTCAACACAGAGAAGCGGGCTCAGGCCCCTTTAAAGTATGTTTTAGGGGCAAAGCACAAAGCATGGTCATGGGAGAAGGCGAAGAAATTGGAAGAAGAGAAGAAAAAGGAAGTGGAAAAGAGGAAGAGAAAAGGGTGGAGAAGGAAGAAGAGAAAAGAGGGGAAAAGTTAACGAAGTTGGAGAAGCAGAGAGCAGGGAAGAAGAAGAAACAACAGGGAAATGAAGTGGGAGTAAAAGGGAAGGAAGAGGAAAGTACAGGCAAAAAAGATGATGAAGCAAAAGAGAAGAAAAGGAGAGAGTGAGGAGGAGGAAGAGGATGAAAAGGAGGTGGGATTGGTTTACGACGATGACCGCTCCGCAGATAAGAGTGTTTTGAGAAATCCGAATCCGTGTTATACTTGTGGGTGGTAGGGTGAGAAAGATGGATGGGTGTGTTGTGACATGTGTGAGTTGTGATTGTATCATAAGGGGCGTTGTGGTTGACAGAGTGCTGTGTTGAGCGAGATGTCAAAGAGTGAACTAAAGCATTTTACGTTTGTGTGTCCTGAGTGGGAGTAAGATGTTCATGTGATATGTGTGGAAGAGTAAAGTGAAGTATTCTCATCATGTATGTGTGTGAGTAAGATGTTCATGTGAGCTTGTTGTGATACATGTGGAAGAGTAAAATGAAGCATTCATGTACTTGTGTGTGAGTAAAAGATGTTCAAGTGAGTTTGTTGTGATATGTGAGGCAGCGTAAAATGAAGCATTCATGTACCTATGTGTGAGGAAGATGTATGTGAGTCTGTTCTGGTGGTTGTTCTTTTTAGTATGTCAATAAACTTTAGTTCTGTCTTTGGCCCACTGTACAAAAGGAGTTCGTCTTTACTTCTTTCCTATTTTTAAACGCCAAGTTGTGCTTCAATTTGAGTGTGCTGGTATGGGGTGTAGGGGGTGACGGTATGGGGTACATGCCATGACACGCGCGCTCATATGACCTTAGCAGTTGCGAGCGCCGTAAAACCTTATACTACTACTACTACATATCGTCGCGCTCATATGACCTTAGCAGTTGCGAGCGCCGTAAAACCTTATACTACTACTACTACATGCCATGACATGCATCAAGTCTCGGTTGGGGGTCTTTTTTATAAATACACTATCTGACTAAAAACTTAACCCCACACCGACAGGAAAGGCTGGCCTCTCAACTAAATGAAATTTTGGGTCGATGTTTTTGAAAGAGCCGAAGTTATGGTAATTCAAAAGTTCTCTACCGGAAATAGTCATCACAAAACACTAAGGTGACGGTATGCCGTTCGGGGGCTCTAAATCTACTCTCGATTCTAGATCTGGCTGGATTGTACTTAGGCAGGGAGTGGCTATCCTCACCCGGGGTGAGAATAAAAATACGATCGACCTCTCACCCCGGATGAGACTTGCCAGCGTTGGCTATTCTCACCCGGTGTGAAACAAGACCTGTTTTTCCTAATTTCGGAATGTCTATCGGTGTGGATGATCAATAACATGACAAGATCGTTTTCATTCTTTTACTTTCCCTCCTGTCTCACACTTACCTACCAGTTGTCCGTCTTCTATATATTATATTATATATTGATGTGCTGAACACAAATATCAACTCCACTTCCATCGCAAATTAATTAATAGTTTTTTAAATATTTGATGGTTTTTAATTGAGCTATTACACTAAGCCTAACCGTGAAGTAATTTGCACGTTCTGGACCATTCAGGGGGTTTCAGGGCAGTAAACCCCCCCCCCCCCAACCATAAATGATAATTCGATGTTTTGCAGTTAGGTTTGAAATTTTCTTGAAAATAATTGATTGGAGACAGTTTTAGTAGCTTTGTAATTGTGATCTGCAGCAAACAATGACTGCAGTTTGACCCCAAAGCATTGCATCTGTGTGCGGGAGTGAAAGCAAAAAGGGACTATTTTCTTTATTTGATGAGGCATACCATTTTCCTGACCATGGAGGATGAATCATGTTGGAGTAGTTGTCCTTGAGAGGACAACAGTGTTTCATTATCTAGCTAAATTATTTATTTTCTATCTTCTACTCTCTTTCTGTAGAACACCCAGAATATAGTGAGGGCGAGAGTGCACTATAGTCTATGGAACACAGAACTCGTAAGCGAGTGAGGGAGGCAAAATCAAGAGCACGACCAGGTTTGTGAATTTTTCTCCTTTTTTTTTTTTTTGGTTTCTGTCATTATTTTTGTTTTAGGCAGGTGCTATTTGCAACGCCGCGTTCTGAATAGCTCCCATGCAAATAATATTGTAGTTTTGCCTGAATTTTGGAAGCTTTCTCAGTTTCTTGATAAACCTCCTAGGATTTGACTCCTTTTTTTATGACGTCTTATTCCGATCAATATTGGATAGATCTAGATTAGATCTAACAATTGTTTCTAACATTGTTTGCACAAAAGTAGACTAGACGTAGTCTTGTTCATCTCTCATAATCATTTGAGTTTGAGCAAGTAAGTAGAAAGACACTTGGATAACAATAACAAGACTGTGCAACTCGGTATAAGCAATATTTCCTGTCCGCGGTGTCGTCATACAATAGATCTACATAACAATAATATTATCTTTAAGTTAGGCCTAGAGAACGTATACAAGCTGTCTACGTTCTCTAAGTCTAATGTTCAGTGCTTCCAAGCGTGGCATCGAATCCCGGTCGCGGGAGGTTTTTTTGTTTTCTTCTCCTGAGCCTATAATAAACATTTTTAAAAATTAGACTCACAGACCACTATTGAACTTAAACCAGACCTAAATTGGTGAAAGGAAAAGTATAGACTGTACTAAGGCTTACTTTGTACAGAGCTCCTCTTGGGGACAGAACCAGAATGTGCATGCTTCATCACCACATAAAAAAACTACAAAGCAATAAGTTATAATTATGGGAAAAATTTGTTGGTCAGTCGAGAAGAGGCCAAAAAAACCCAAACAAAATTTCAAGGACCGGAATTTTAACCCACGCTCATAAAATAATAGTTTGGCTTCTAATGCAGACGCTCTGTCCCTTCGGCCATCAGAACTTCCAACAACGAAAGGTCGATTAAGCTTCATATAACACACTGCGTTTTATTTAGCGCTGGCGCTAATCACAAGCGGCATTTTATTTAGCACTGGCACTAATTGCAAATACGCACTTCCTTTGTTTTATATGCTCATACAGACTCGACCATGGATTTTTCTGAGACCAATTTTTTGTTGTTGTAATGATAGGAAAAGTTCAGACCGCGTGCTTCTTTAAATACGGACTTACAATTTTTTTCAAAATGTAACCAGCTATGTAGTTTATGCCCTTCTTTACCCATAACTTGTCTTAAACATATTTTTTAAAAATGAATTAATAGTGATATACATGTACTGCTTTTTCTTCCTTTAAAATAAAGAAATGTATCTTGTTAAAGGGATGCAAAGCATTTATATGTGCAATTGAAACAACAAATCAGCAAACTCATAACAAGTACACCATTGTCATGATTGTGCATGGTTGCTGGAGTGCAGTGCCCTGTTTTGAGCTGGGAATAAAGTATCTAGCAAGGATACTCCATGTACTCCTGAATAACCACCTTTTTAGACACTACACTATTGACCCCCATCTGTATTGTAACAGTAGGCCCTTCACCAGTGTATGTAGAGATCTCAGTCTTTCTGCTGGTACATTTGATCTCTCTCAGCCCAGGCAGGGTTGAAGCCCACTAACTCCAAAATGATCTAAATTGTTTCCATGGTGGGTAGAAACCTACTTTTAAAAAAACCCCAAAGACATGTCTTTTGACATTGCTTGACATTGTTATACATGTAAAATACACTCTTGACCCCATTTTATATTTTATAAGATATTGGTCGCATGTGAGCTGGAGGTAGATAGTGAATGCAGAGTAATCATTGGCTCGCTCCTTTTCTGTTTAGATTTGACTCGCACCATTGCTGCTTAGAATTCACAAGCCTTACCAAATTGTTAGTAGTTGTGCTGTTCATTCAGATAGTTATGCTATTATATTGACTTTTGTCTATATTCTTAACATAGAGATGTTCTCATATCTTGGACTGATTAGTCTATAACTTATAACTTTCAAATGTGCACAATGGTTGTGTTTAGTTTTCTGAGCAGACACAGAAGACATGAAAGTTGTTAAATTGAATTGATTTTGTGGGTTATATGTTCATCAAGTACTATACCTATCGAAAATGGATGATGAGTTAGAATATGTTTCTTTTGCTTTGTAATGAATAATAATAACATGAGATTAGGAGCCTTGTGTGTCTGATCAGACAAAGGAAAAATGAAAACAACATAGTTTTGTTCCTCTTAACTGGGATACTGACAGTTGAAGGAAATGCATATTGTGCCTTTGACTTTAACTCAGCTTTCTCTTTCTTCAACAGAACTCTATGAAGAATCCCATGGATGGCATAAACACAATTATGCAGAGAGGTTTGACCTCAGCAAAAGTACTGTCTCTGATAATGTGGAAAGAGTGGATGCCAGTCAGTTGAGCATAGAAGAGTTCCAGGAAAAGTATGAGAAAACATACACACCTGTGGTCATCACCAACTGCCAGACTGACTGGGCAGCCTCCTACAAGTGGAACCCAAGGGTATTGCGCTGAATTAGATTCTCTGGAAAGTCTGAATGGGGAGGAGTAAAAGTTGCTGCTGGAATTATCTTTAAATATTTTTTTAAGTTGTAAGACTAGGGTTTTTTATTTTTCTAAGTTTCCCTGAACCTGGTCCTATCCCATGGTAGATAGGATTGACAGCCTATCTTTTTAAATATTATTTTAAGAGAAAAACAAATTCCCGTCTCTTTGCAGAACTTTTAGACACTTTAGTAGTTGAAAGTTGAAAAAGAGTGAATCTACAAAGGTTGATTGCTGAGCTTTGAAAAAAATGAATGCACCAAAGTTCAAAATGAATCTGAAACAAGAACTAAAAACTCTTCTCCGTTTAAACTAGTATGGTACGTAAGGCTGCTTAAAAAACGGGATGCTGTGTTCTGTTGGGTAAATGTAAAATGGCGAAATGTTAAAAAAAGATAAATCTAGTGTCTCTGGACACTGGAGATGTAAGTCAGTCAAACCTGTCCATGATGAACACTGATTGTCATGGAGAAAAGTAGTCATTTTAGATGTCATTATAGAAAAGAATAAATGCAAGGGGGGGGGGGGGGAGATGATTGTCTTTGATAGGTGGCTGTTAGTGGGTGGTTGGTGGGTGCTCTTGTGTAGTTTGCTTCTTCTTTCATATATTAAATCTATTGTCTCTATCTCCCCTCTTTCTTTTTTGTGTTTGTTACTCTCTTGTAACACCTCTAATCTTTTGCACTTATATGACCTTATTGTGTTGCAAGTGCCCTAAAACTTTTACTACATTTAAAAAAGGTGGCTGTTAGAGCAGGTTTGAATGCACTTTGAAGATAACTCCACCTGGGGTCTAGTTTAGTAAACGGAAAACAGAAGAAGAGTCATGTAGAAACAGATTAATGATTCAATGTGATCCCTTGTTGTTAGGCCTGATTGAATTGCTATATTTGCATTAGCATGATCAGCACTCTACTGTTATATTTTATGTTTTATCTTTTCTTGTGGAAGATTAAATTGGGGTAAAGAGAGGCTTATTGGTACTACAGGTTATGCAGTACTGGGGAAAAGCATGACAGGCTGACAGAAACAACCAGAGGGTGTTCACAAAATAAGACTTTCCAGCAAATCCCCACGACCACACACAGAGAATCATTTTCTGGAAGTGCCAATTTTTGTAACTGATTGTTGTTCTAGGGGCACCTTTGATAGACCCGTATATTTTTTAATGTTAATCTTTGGTTTTTTTTTTCATAGCTCTATGACAATAATTTTGTCTATGTTTATCTTGTTTTTACTTTTTGAAATTTGACTCCGTATATATATGCTCAAAGTGAATTGTCATGTTTTCAGCGCCTTGCTAAAAAATACAGAAACCAACGCTTCAAATGTGGTGAGGACGATGAAGGCTATTCTGTGAAAATCAAACTGAAGTATTTTGTAGAGTACATGAAACACACGAAGGATGACAGCCCGCTGTACATCTTTGATAGCAACTACGGTGAGGTAAGTCATGCTTGTGTGTTTTTTGTGCCTTCTTCCTGGGAAGTGCAGTAGATGTTATACTGGTACAGATGACATATGTGGTAGTCTGTGATATGCCACTGTAATCCTCAAATCATATACTACAAGCTTGCCCAATGCATGAAGCAGTTAGAGGGAAATACTGTTCCAACCCTGGGCAGGGGGGCCCCAAAAACTCTACACAGGCCTGGAGGATCTGCTGCAAACAGCAGCCTTCGCACTAGAGACAGGGGATGTCCACTTAAAGATAAGTGAGAAGAAAGAAGACTGCAATCCTTAATATAGTTTGGCATAATTTGTTCAGGGTGATTGTTTTACATGTCATCACCTGTGCAGCTAAGTACTGAAGTCTTGTCTCTATATGGACTCTCTTTCTAGACAGTATTTGTGTGACTTTCTCTTTGTCTCTTTCTTTCTTTCTCTCTGGTTTGCCTGATCGGCAGAAGGGCTGAGAGAAAACTGGCTTGATTTCTAAATTGCCGCCAGTCTAACTAGCAATACTAGATTGTTTTGAACAGAACATATCATTAGGCCTAATTTTTTTTTGCCTGTAATGAAGGCCTGTGGTTCCAGGTCGTAAATGCAGCACTTTCACATCAACTTTTTGAATTGTTGCAGCACCCAAAACGCCGTAGACTTTTAGAAGATTATGAAGTGCCCAAATACTTCCGTGATGATTTATTCAAGTATGCCGGGGAGCACAGACGCCCCCCATACAGGTAAGAGCTTCATCGTACCGGTACTGAAGAGCTTAGTGCAACATGGTTGTTTTTGTTTTTTTCTCCCATCTCTTTCTTATTTTTATAGCTTAATTTTATCAAAACTCGATTATTGTAACTCCTTATTGTAACTTATTGTATCAGGAATATCACTGGAGAAAGTTAAAAGACTTCAGACTGTCCAAAACAATGCTGCACGTTTAGTTTTACGGAAAAGAAAGGGAGACTCTGCTAAACCTCTTTTACGAACTTTGCATTGGCTTCCTGTTGAGAAAAGGATTGTGTACAAGTTGGCCTCCCTATGTCACAAATATTTGAATGATAATGCCCCATCATATTTATCAAATCTGTTAAGACTGTACATTCCAACTCGCAGTTTAAGGTCATCAGCTGACAAAGAGAAATTTATCTTACCATCTATGAAACTTAAAACAATGTTTGAAAGGGCATTTGAATACCAAAGGCTTCAAGATCTGAAATGCTTTACCAAGTACTTTAAGAGAGATAAAATCTTTTGATTCTTTCTAATGTTAGCTGAAGTCGTTTCTGTTTTTAAATTAATAAGATGAATATTTGGAGTAATTTTCTTTAGTCAGAACACAACGTTTTATGTTACTGTTGTACGTTGTACTGTATTGTAAAGCGCTCAGACCGGGGTTGAGCACTAATAAATGTCATTTATTATTAATATGTAGGCATAACTTAAATGTTGCATTAAATCGATCAATCTGGCCATCCTCATTCTATTCATGCTCATGTGGAGGTGTGCTGTTTTCCCATGGTTTAGTTGACTTTTGTTGTGTTGATCATATGGGCTTATCCCTAGCTTCGTCTCAATTGTCCCTTGTGACGCCTTGTCTGCTGTATATGGATTTTTGTGTAAATAACAGCTGTACGCCATGTGGAACTTATTTCTGAATGGATACCGCACTATATAAATGATATAACTTATTATTATGAAAGTGACATGAATATTTAATGCTCCTGTGGGTAGTTGCTGGGCTGCTTTTGTGTTGATGTGCTTCTCTTTGCTCAGACAAATGAAGCTGCTCTGTTATGTGCTTCTTTTTCTTTCAAGTGTTGATTTTTTTCCCTTGTATTTACACGCTTGGGGGTGTTTGATGGGTGCTCTGGTGTTGTCTTCTTGCTTATTTCCGATTATCATATGGAAGATGGAAAATGGCCTTTATTATTACGAAAAGTTTAAACTATAGTCAAACCTGCCCTGACGACCACCTCTATAAGACGGCCACCCGTACAAACGGCCACTTTCCATTTCCCCCCTTGCGTTTTTTCTATATAATTTAACTGTGTAAAACGGGCACCTGTCCAATGCGGCCGCGGCCACCATATTTTAACACACAACCCCTATCACACTAAGCAATAACACCTGTCTTAGACGGCCACCTTAGTGACTCCATTACGTTTTGTCATAAATTGTGCATTGGCCCCTGGCGTTGTGGGCGAGCCGTCATAATTCAATCATCTGTCGTTGTTGTTAGGTAGTCCCTCCAACCGATCATGTTGCGTAGGCCCCTCCCACTGTTGACCAATAGCTACCAATTTTCAGCTGCTGGTGAGGTAAGCGTGTGATCCCTCATAACCCATAAGCCCCGCCCAGAACTCATACACAAATCGTAAGTGAGATGAGTGGTCACTGTTTACCCAGTCTGTAACAAACTAACAAAGGACGTCAACATGAACTTGTGACAGAAGCGTCGCTCGTTCTGCGAGTGGCGGCGACCCATGTGTTTGTTTTAACATGCATGACACTTGGTCTTCCTCGTCTGATACATTTCGTTTTATTGTCACCATTGTGCAAAATCAGCAACAAAATTAAAATTACAAACAAAATACAAACCACCACCACCACCAACAACAACAACAAAAACAACAACAATGCGGCTACTTTCGATTGGGGCCTAATTGGGGCCTCAGATGAGAATGGTTTGTTTCCTTCATCTTGATCAGTCGTGCCTAAGACGGCCACCTGTCTTATACGGTCACTTTTCTCCTTGACAATGGGTGGCCGTCTTACACAGGTTTGACTGTACTTTTTGGCATATGAACAGTTTTGTTCTGCTGTCCCTGGCTTATCTTAGAGCTGATTATGATCAAGTTGTGCCTATGAACCAACAAAACTTTTACTTCACTGTTTATGTTTCAATTCCTTTCTGATATATATTGTGCTTTTATGTGATACTGTACCTTGTCTCAATTCAATTTTCAGGTGGTTTGTGATGGGACCGGCAAGGTCGGGCACAGGGATCCACATAGACCCCCTGGGAACTAGTGCCTGGAACTCCCTAGTCATTGGACATAAAAGGTTTGCTGATATAATTTGGACGTTTGAAAATAAGTGAAAGTATTGTAATCGCAGACAAGAAAAAGTAGTACTTTAAAATATAGCGATCCTAGTCAAAAAGCTGCCTTCTTTGTAAAGGCAGAAATGGAAAATGTGTGATCGCTTTGGTACTCTCTATGTTATGTTGCATAATTTTCAAGCAATAGAGTTTTGCTTTGGTTAGAACCCTTTATTATTTGTGGAACGTTTCCAAAGAAAAGATACAGTCGGTCGAATATGCAGGAACGGCCACCTGTTCTAGACATTCACCTGTACAAATGACAACTTTCCATTTCTCCTCTTACGTTCTTTTTATATTACAAGGACACTGTGCCAGGTGGCCACCTGTTTAAGCCCTTCAATGCCGCTGGTAAATAAGTCCCTGTGCCAGGGGAAATCCCAAGAACCAGGGCGGCTGAGGGGTGACCCCACTCTACCTCCCATAACTTTTTTATTTATGAATATTTCCTCATGAATTTCTCCATGTACATTCTACATTGAACCCCGTTTCTATTGATATAATTTTAGAGGGATTTCATTGAAAGATAGATGGAGAAAAATTTGAGTTAGTAACATGATGCCAAACAACATAACACACATTCGAGTAATGATAAACTGAGACGGAAAAAAAGGGGGAATACATGTTGTGTGAGTGTGTGCAGGTAAAGAGACTTTTACTACCTTATACAATGCTCGTACAATCCATATATATACATGTTAGCCCATCTGACAGCTACACCACAGATGCTCTTCAGCGTATTGTGACCACTGATTCCTATATTCCAGGTGGTGCCTCCTTCCGACCAACACTCCACGTGAGCTCTTGAAGGTGGCCTCTGAAATGGGCGGTAAACAAAAGGATGAAGCCATCACTTGGTTCACGCACATTTTCCCCAAGGTCAAAAGTCTGGACTGGCCTCCACAATTCAAGCCGGTAAGTTGCATGATACACAAAAAAAAGTAGAGCTGTGTTTTTCGTTATTCCATCTTGTCCGTAGCGTCGCTCTTAAATGACGGCCGTCTGGGTCTTCATAGTTGCACACACCTGCCGGGCTGATGTACTGCAACGCTGTGATGCTATATTACATATAAATGAAATAGCATTAGAATTTTTGCACTACGAAAGTTCATAAGAATGGTCATTTTAAGATTTTAGTTTAGTGCTATAATTGGATATGTTTTTAAACCTGAAATGGAATGGGTTTCTTTGGGAATTTTGATTTTTGTACTCTTTGCAATGAGAAAATTGACAGTGCTTTGTGTTCTTATGCTGTGTAGTTTGATGATCTGTAATGGCCACGCTCAATTTGTTCATTATTTTAGTAAGTTCGTAATTTTGTGTCTTGTTTCCCTACATGATGATTTGTTCTCTAAAATGTTACTAGGAAACCACATTTAGGCCCCGTGCCCACTAAACAGGGAAATTGCCACTGGTTGCAAGGCTGCAAAGTATGAAGTCACTTGACAGTGGAGAGTGATGAACCAGTAAAATTTGCCTCATTTGCATACTCGCTGCTGTGCGATGACCATGATGAGTGGAAATTGTTCTGGTGTGCGCAGGGCCATAGGGCCTGCACAGTCTTTACCAATACACACGCCCGCGCCGGCAGTGCGAAAACACAGTAGACTCGCGAAAACACGGTAGACTCGCCCCAGCCAGGGGTAACCCGAGGAACATGCTATTTTATAGCATTGTTCGTTGCGTCAGCCCCATGTATTGTATATCAATACACGTGGAAAAAATTGAGGCATTCATTGAAGGAAAAATTTTTCTGATATCGTCAGCGACAGCCGAGATATTGTCGAAGAAAGATGATTGGTTGGTAGCGAAACCGAAACCTGCCGAATGGCACTGTGATTTTGCCACTCTTCGTATTAGGAAGGTGCAGAACCCAGGGTTCCCGCGGCCTCCTTGGATTCAAGGAGTCCTTGAAAACTGCTGGAATTTGCTTTCAAGGAAAAATCTTCTTGGAAACTCCTTGAATTTTGCCAGATCGGACAGGAACACGTGTACAGAGTGACTGCCAGGCCCCGGGAATCCCGGGGGCCCCTGGAATCCCGGGGGCCCCTGGAATTGCCCAAAAATTTGAAAAAAATTGCCGAGACCCGGAATACAGCGGGAATTTGAAGAAATCTGTAAATTTCCCCGTGAAAGAACCGGGAAAATACATAAACGTTCTCGAATATTTGAAAACCAAATCTGATAACGTCCTTGAGTCCATTTTTGCGGGGCGCGGTTGTGATATAATATAATCCATTCGGCCTTTACCGGCCTGAGAGTACGTTACCGCGCACAGGCGGTAATGACGGGAACAAATGGAAGTGAATGAGCGATATCGAAGCTCGATCGGGAAAATCAAGATCTACTTTCGCTTTCGTTACCACCAAGAAATTTGCCGGTAGGGCCTATAGTAGTCTGATAGCCCCACATTTGTAACATGCAGGTTCTGCATTACAAACGCTATGTCGCCATGAAAATAATTCATTTGTCCTGTGCTGTCACTAGTGAAAAAAACAGAAGGCAACACCAGATGACAAAAACTGAACTTGGAAGCAGATTTTACTTTTCAGAATTTTGATTACTACTATCTAGAGCTCTCTGCACAGTGCGTGTTGGTGCAGGCCTTGTGTGGAATCGGGATCTATCATACTCAAACCTTGTAAGCCAAGTTTTTGTAACTAAAGGGTTCCCGTTTCATTGATTGTACATTCTATATTTTAGCTTTCTGTTCAAGATTTGCAGATTTTCAGTGTAACAGCATCTTGCCCTCCCACAGTTCTTACACATCTCACACTGAATAGGTCTACTTGAGCCATTCATGTATTGCTCTACTTTGAGCTAGAGCAATAATTTTTGTCTTTCACGTTTATTATATAAACCTTGACACCCTAAACTGGTTCCTTGACAGTGGATATTCTGGTTCTAGGCCTTTTCTCAGGCTCAAAGCAAGATTCATTTTTTTATAGTTAACATAGGCGAATATGATGAGGGGAAAATATAAATCAGTAAGAACAGACTGAAATACCTAAGTCACAGTATCCCAGTGCCACACTGACATCATGTTGTTGACTGGATATAATATACCTGCATGCGTGCGTGCCACGTATGTGTGTGTATATATTATATATAATATATAAATTAATAATGCACTGTCATCCATGGAGAATGGATGAGCCCTGCCCCCGCCTGGAAAATTGAGAAGCCGGGTTGGCAGTCACCCTGGGAACAGTTTTTGTAGGAAAGTCGAAACTATGATTTAGTTCCTTTCGGACAAGTGTAGGCCTTCGAAAATAGGCTTTCGTCATGAATTTTTTTACCAAATCTCCTTGAATTAAAAAAATTTCTCCTTGAAACCTCCTTGAATTTGATGGGAAGTTCATGGCAGGAACCCTGAGAACCATCTTAAATATTAACCAAACGTCCCTAAATTTGGCAATCAATGAGAAGAAAGATGGATCTAGCCTCTGCGGATTTCTGTGTTTTAATCGAGCTAAAAACTAGAAAGTTTCAAGGTGGTGTCGTTCCTGTTTTTAGCGTGGTCGCAAAGCCAAAAAGGGCAACACTGCCGCACATGGGAAACTCTTGCAGCGAGACATGTAAACTTGCCGCCATCTCGCTGTGACATCACGGCTGCGTTGAAACGTAGCTACTGATTGGACAGGTATTTTGATCAGCCTGAATACCAAGGAAAACATTGTGCTCGTAGACACTGATGTGATGAAGGTTTCGTCCTATTTGCCGTCACAAATAATCAGGCTGAATTTCAGTTTTACGTGAATTTAATGCTGATATAGACTTCAAGTTAACTGCATAATACATTCTTCAAGTATTTACAATATTTTTGACAGAAGCAGAATGAAGATAGCTCTGGTAGATTTCTGTGGATTTATGCATGTGTAGGCCTACTTACTCATAACAATGATAAAGTGAAAGAACAATGTTATAATAACTGTATATACACACTTCAAATGGGAATTAATGAAATATTGTAGTTCTAAGGCATTTTTCCATGCTATGGGAGGGGGGTGGGGTGGGAACATATCTTCGCTAGGCTAAAATAACCATGTAATTGATTAGTCATGCGCATAATCAATTTGAGTTATTTGCGTATATTATGTAGTTTCAATTATTATAAGATTTTTAAAAAGCTGAGCTTGATATTATTTATTTACCGGTTAGTTTCCCACTCTCTGAGCTGTTTGGTTACAGTTTGGTTAATTAATTATGCGCATATATTCAAATGAGTGCATAATCAAACATTTAGAACCTTATTTGTAACATTTTCTAATTCGTATCTTTGCAAACACAGATTTGTATACATGTATGTCATGTAAGCATGTAACAGAATGGACGTATATTATGTTTATTATTAAGCCATATATTGCCTTATTTTTAAAATAATATTCATATTTAATTATTTATTTGCATATAATTAACAAGGTATTAAGATTGCAACTTCAATTCTTCCATTTTTTGTTTTGTTGCACCTAAAAACATAACCTCTCGAATTTTCAACTCTTTCCATTCATAAATGTGAAAGTTATGGGCTTTCAATATTCTGGTGCCGTATGCCCCTCTTTATTCCTTTAGGAATTTTCTCCAAAATACCCACAATTACCGACATGTACACAGCCATAACTTTTTTATTTTTTATGGACTGATTTTGAAAAAGTAAAAAGCATTTTACTTCTGGATTGTTGATTTTTGTACTTGTGTTGTTTATAGGTTAGTCGTACCCATCTTTTAAAAAAGTTGTGGTATTGCTACAGTCTTATGGAGTTTGGGTAGGCCATCATTTAGGGAAAATTACAATTGTCCGTTTTAGTATCTTTGGTATTGTGGTATTTTGTTAATGTGTTTAATATTGCACTGTATTATTTGATTATGATTTCAGCTGGAAATTTTGCAAAAACCTGGCGAGACGGTGTTTGTCCCTGGAGGTTGGTGGCATGTGGTGATCAACTTGGACGATACTATTGCAGTTACTCAGAATTTCTGCAGCGTGGTGAATTTCCCCATTGTCTATCACAAGACTGTGCGTGGCCGCCCAAATCTGTCCAAGAAATGGCTGAAAGCTTTGAAGGTAAGTCTGTATGGTACGCCGGTGAGAGAACCTCAAGTTGAAGAGATTTGTCTGCATTATACGTGTCTGTATGGTAATTCCATGCTTGTACAAGGTGGCCAAGGAAGTAGGAAATGGGTTGGATAAGTTGGAGTTTTGTCGTAAATATTTGGTGCAGACAGAAATAGTAGAATCAAAGTCGGCAATAAAAGTGCAAGTGTGTTGAAATGACAACAGTATGAGGCCTGTAGTTTATTAATATTGGGAAAGTGGTTGAGGACGATGCACCAAGTTTCCGGATGTTTTCAAAGAAACGTTTTTGGCTCATAGATCCGTGTGTTCTGGCTGCATCGATGTTAATGTTGCTTTCTTATTTGGGACTGAATTTTCAAAATCTGTGTAAAATCTAGATCTTGATTCAAAGCATTCTAAAGGTGATAAACAGCTGTTAACCCTATCCGTACACCCTGGGGGTTATTTTGTACCCCCGGGTTTATATTCTTCACATTTTAGAATACTTGTAGTATGAAGATCTCTTTGAAACTTTCAGTATTTCTCAAAAAATCATTTTGACTAACTGCTGTGCAAAGCGCACAGATCGGATTAATGAGCAAATTTCCTCTTTGGAAAGTGGCGGCTCAGTTCCCCACTTTGTATGGATACGATAGTAAAACATGATGCACGGATAGGGTTAGAATACCTTTAAAAAGGTACTTTAGTACATTTTAAGTACTTTCCTGTAAAATATACTTAAGTACAAGTACTTTTTAAAAAAGTATTTATGAATACATTTTGAGTACTTTCTGGTAGTTTGCTAAAACCCTTCAGTGCTAATGCAAAACATTATATTGCATAACAGATCCAGCATGTTTGACAAATTAGACCATAATTTATTCCTAAAAATGTAAACAGTATACAAAGCCTTTCAATATACACACTGAACGTATTTGGAAATGGTCCATGAAATTGAAAAAACAAGCAACTAGTGAGTGAGTGATATTATGAATAGAACATGCTAGGGCAAGACAATATAAAAATGTGATCAAATGTAATGTAAGTCAGTCCAAGAGGTCGGAAAGTTCTACAGGAAAAGTATCCAAAGTGGAAAATGTAAGAGACAAAGTTGCTCTTAAGAAAACATAAAATTGATTAAAATGGCCAGCAAAGAAATGGAAAAGTGCATTGAATTCTTCATTAACAAATTCTCAAGGAATCAATGTTGCATTAAGCGAAAATCACCATTAAAAAAAAGTTAACAGAAATTTAGGTAGCCTAAAAAATTGTTAGATCTACATTGAGAACTCAGTTTCAGTTGTAATTGATTATAGTGGTAAGTGAAGACTTTGTGGTCTGCTGTAGTTGTAAGCAAATTCGCAAAACATCATTGTACATGTACTGTACTGCGGTCCAATATTCTTGGCACAACTTTTTGTCAAATGTCTCACGTATCAGAGTAAAGTACTGGTTCTCAAAATGTACTGGAGTACATTAAAAGTACCGAAAAATGTAACATAAGTACAAGTACCAGAGTACTCCATTATAATCAGCTCTGGGGATAAATACTGACAAATTGTGCCATTGATTACTTAGATCTAGCTCTTTGTTAAATGAAAAAAAAAAAGATCATATTATTATCTAGATCTAACTCTGTTTCTCTCAATTCTCTTCTCTTTTACTCTCTCTCTCTTTCTTTTTCTCTCATTCTCTTCTCTCTAACTCTGTGTCTCCTCTCTCTTCTCTTTCTCATCTCTCTTCACTTTCACGCTCTCTTCTCTTTCTCTCTTTTATGTCTTATTCTCTTCTTCTCATTCTCTCTCTCTTCTCTCTCTCATTCTCTCCCTCATCTCTTTCTCCTATCTTTCTCTCTCTCTGAACCACCTCCTTCCTTTGTTGTTGTTAGCGATCCAGTAGCATCTGAACTCTTCTGCATGATGCCATTCTGTAACAGCTGCATGTCTGTTCTACCTCCTTCCTTTACTTAAGTTGTCCCCTAGCCTGTCATGTGGCTTGCCAATTCCCTCCTCCCTCCCACCCTGCCTCCCCCCAGGTGCTGCGTCCTGAGGTATCTCAGCTGACCAAGGTGGTGGACCTCAGCAAGCCCACGGGCTTCAACTCGGACAGCTCCAGCTCAGCCTCCTCCTCTTCCAGTGACTCCAGCTCGGAGTCGGCAGACAGTGAAAGTGACTCTGAGTCTGAGACTGCCAGCAAATCGTAAGTGGCACAGACTGCGGGCGCTTGGTAAAAGGTTTTTCCCGCGGTGGTGACATTTTACTTTCTTTATACCTCTGTCTTCATTGATAGTATTGTCCTTTATATCCTTTTTTTTTAACTTGCAGAACTAGAATGGTGTGAAAACTTCAGAAAGAAGTAATTTTAGACCAGTAGCTGGCATTTTGTTACTGTCACATTGTATAAAATATTATAATCTGTCTTTTTTTATATTTCTTAAAATTGTGTAACAGTCTCCCTACCGTGAGCCGCATTTGCGGCTCGCGGACCTTGCCTTGCTGGACCGAGAGCCGCAAAATACGGCCCGAGTTACTCACTATCTATTCCAATCCAGTAATGAAATTTTCGACCGAGCCAAGTTTTCAAAATAATAGAATAAACTTTCTGTCAGCAGATGCAAAAGAAAATATAGCACTGAGAGACGATTTTCAGTCATTTCAGCGCTTTTTTTGTCCCCTTCTAAACGTAAAAATGAGAAGAAAAGAACTCTCCTGACTTCAGTATATGTCTCATATTTTCATTTCTATATTAGGTACACATACATAACTTTCAGCATTTCTTTGCATTACTTGAGGTAAACTTCCTGGGAAGTTTGAATGATGCTGTTGTTGGACTTGTTTAGATATGACCTTTCAAAGCTGGAAAATTGTTGATTTTATATGACACCTTCGATATGGCATAATCACTTTTACAAACCCCAAACTAATATAATTGGAATAAATCTTCAAGAATAAATCTTCAATATTGTATCACCATCTGATAGATTATTTTTTAACCTTCAGTTTGATGGGCCATATGATATGGTTTGAGTGTGTTTAGCTGGATGTTTTGACATTTTCCTTTCGCGGGGTAGTGGTGTAGAAATAGGTCAGGGAAAAGCCCTGGGCCAGTGGTGGATTTTGGCCTGGTAGAAAAAGAGTTAAATGGGCTATATTTTTCAGTTTAACAGGAAAAAAATTGTAAATAGGAAAACTTTTGTCTTTTGTATATTGCATCTGTTGGAATGAAATGGACTTAAAAATCGTCTCATTCGCCTTTGCTTCATGTCATGCTTTGAAAAGCAGAAAATGCTTGCAAAGTTTCATTGTTGTATTGCATCTGAAAAACTTGTTTTCTTTTCAGTCTTTTAGTTTTCAATAGCAAAGTTTTTTAGTGTGAGACTTGCACTTGTCATAATTTTTTTTTTCCTCACACATGTCATAATTTTTTTTTCCTCAGTAAAAGGTCTAGACATTCAAGTTCTCGTTCACTGACTCCAAATGGAAGTACTCAGGACCCAAAGTTATCATCTCGACAGCATTACGTTCGGTCTCGGTCAAAGTCACTGTCGAGGTCAAACGTGTGCCTGGCGAAGGAACGGGATCGAGGCAGCCATCATGACCACCGAGACAATCGTAGTGTTTCTCACACACCCAAAAATTCACGGTAGTCCTTTGAACACAGATGGCTCCCACCTCTCTTGTTGTTATTCCGAGAGACGCCATCATGTCGATTTGTTTTTCTTATGATCATAATCGAATGTGAACTTTAGAAAGGACTTAATGATAACGCTGTCTAAATGGGAATTCGGTAAATGTTGCTTTTTTTTTTTCCTTGGCCATTGGTCTCGGTGACTAAGAACTCACAGTATTGATGTCTTGAAACCTATTGCAGAACTGGACTCGTGTGATATCGTCATCAATAAACTGATACCAATGTTCAGATGGCTCTTTGCATTTGCGTTTTTAAAAGTTCCCATTATATATAGTTTTGTGCATTCCATGTTGAGTTAAGAAAGTCAGATGTCAGATGCCTGCAAAATATGGGGTAAGTGGGAGATTTAATAATTCAGTAGGTCAGGCGGTTCCAAAACATATTTTGCCATTATACTTTTAAAATGTTTTTGGGGGGGCTCTCGTGGCCTAGAGGTTAAGGTGTTTGCCTTTTTTTTATTCAAAGGTCCTGGGTTCGAATCCTGGTAGCGACGGAAAAATTGTCTCCTTTCACCTCCTATCTTGCTCTCTAGCAATGTTCTGTCGTCTGGTTTCTTCTCTACTTTCTGCCCCCTCCCCCCTCACCTCCTTTGTCCCCTCCTCTGGGCTCCTGACTCTTTCTGCTGCCTTTCTGTTGCTACTTCTTGGCTCCTTCTTACTGCTGTCTTTCGGCCACACCCTTGACCTTCTGGTAGGAAAGATCTACACCTAGCCTTCTCGGACAAGGGTGAAAAATCTCGGAGGGCTGGTGTGCAGATTTCGCTTGTTAAAGATGCCTTGGTCTAAAATCTATAAGAGTAGACTTCGGCTGCTTCGCAGGCAGAATTCAAGATTTCCTACCAACTGAAAATGTTTAATGTGTCTCGCGCGCTCATATGACCTTATGCAGTATGCAGTTGTGAGCGCCGTAAAACACTTTCCCCCCCCCCCCCCCCCCAAAAAAAAAAGTTTCTGTTTTTACTTCACTGGGTAGAAGTACTGGAACAGATTTTCCCACATTTCAAATGACACCTTTACGAAAATAGAAATCCTGAGTCTGCAAAGGTTGAGGGAGATGCTTTTTACTTTTGCCTTTTCGTGTGCGCTAAGCAGCTGGTAGGGGTGAAACATTGACTTTGTCCGTACAGAATGCCAGTAGTTGTGAGAATCCGTTCTGTTGACACTTTTGAGTGGTGATTAAATTTCTGTGAGTAGAATTAGACAAACACGTCAAGGGCTTCCTGCAAAGTGTTTGCTCTACATAGAGCTTAAATTAACAATGAAGTTTTACCTTTCATGCATACTTTAATTTACAACTGCAGAATGACATGTACAAGACTTCCTTGTGAAGATTGCTTAAGGGTCTAACTTCATCTTGTGATGCAACTTATCTCATGTTGCAACTAGAGTTCTGCACAATGCTCTTTGTTGATGTACATTGACAGGTTAGACATGCCAAGTTATATTTGAGTGAAATACAATTAAAGAGAAAATTAAACAAAAAAAAGATTGCAATTTTTGTGAGATTGTACCTGGCATTTTTTTGTGTGTGCAGGGGGGGATGTTCAGGTAGAGATGAAAATGAAATTGTGCTCTTGACGATAGGTCAGAGACGCTATTTTTATGTAAAGAGAATTTTTTATCAGTTGGTTCTACTTTATATACCAGCATATCTATTATACATTGCTCAGCAGTGAACGTTTACAATGTCATGAGACTGAACTAATGCTGAGCACAGTGTTATTCAGATATGGCTTCAAATCATAGTTTTTAGAAAGTGGGATATGATTCTAAGTGGGCCAAAATGGGATGGGGAACATTTCTTGGTATTGTATTGATGAGTCAAATGTTGAAACATGCAGTTTACAAGTCTTAGTCTTAAGATCTGTGATATTGGTAGGTGAAAATTTTGGCGGCACTTCTACTAAACTGTTTCTAAAAGGAAGTTTTCTGCTGTTTAATTTTAATAACTTGTCTGTCTGCCCATATTGCATGGATGCTGTTGTATGAGCTCATAAAACTGTCGCTCACTTCTCCTTGTAGCTGTTTAACTTAAGAAAACTAGTCAGGGAGTTAATGTGAGATAGTTTGAACATGTCATGTTGTACACGTTTCCATGCAGTGTAGGGTTGTAGGTACTTCTCATTTGCTTTTGTTCTTTTATCCTTTATGTCTTAAGTCTTTGCTTTGTTTGTTCATTCGATTCATAATTTTTAACATCATGATATTGGTCATGGGGGGCTTGCAGGTGTGATTTTGGTCATTCTGTTCTACTGCTTTTGTTTCCTCACCCCACACAAAACCATATGTTTATTATCTTCTAATTTGTAGTTGTACCATTTAGTAATATTATTCCAGAACTTTGATTCATTGATGTGTCGATTTTTAGTTGTTTTTAATTGCATTTTTTTGTCCGTTCTTTGAATTGAAAAGGCGTAAGTGTTGGGCATTGTGGTAGTAGCGGTGGTCTGTCTTTGGAGGCTTACTGTCTACCTCTCTTGAAATATTTTCTCTCCTATAAAATCGGTGCCTACAAGCTGTTGGCCGCTGTCTCTCTTCAGCTCTTAGATATGTTTGGGGTTTCAGGAGCTTTCATGTTGCTATGACTATGATGATTTTTGTGCTAATGGAATATTTTGTAGTGCTTGGAGACATCTTTGATGTATTGGTCGATGTTGTGGTGAAGTATGCCACCTCAAAAAGTCTGAACTGTCTTGCTTAAAGAGTATGTGAAGGCAAGTCATAATGACTAAGAAGTACCGGTACATATAGTATAGATTGTTCTAGTAGTCTGGTGTTTAAGCTCTATGATAGTTCGAACATTCTTTTAAACTTCAACTGACGTCTTTCTGACATCTGTGATGTAATGGTTAAGTGCTTCGCCATCATACACAAGACCTGAGTTCGATACCCAAATGGGGAGAATTTTTATGGAGTTTATTAGTCTTTCTTCTGGGATGCTGTATTATTCTCAGCACGGGTTGGCTCTGATAGACAGGGTTGAAGCCTGCCTCCTAAATGATCTTAATTGTGTTGAAGGTGGCTTGAAAACACCAACTATAAAAAGAAGTTATTAGATTTTTCAAAGACTTTTCCCTGTGTAACAGTAAGTATTCCCTCATGTGGGCCCAGGCCTTCTCCAATGATGACTGATATGGCATTTCATTGCTGTTTTAAAAATTTATATTTTTGAACCATGTACTGGGGTGCTGTGAGTTTACCTTGTCAGCCCCATTCCCCCCCTCCCAATGATTTTCATATGAATAATTGTATCCTGTGATTGCATTGATCAATAAATTGAAAGTCAAAAAGTGTTTCATCTTCAGGTGTCTTTTCCTATGTACCAGCCATCTCGTAGAGTTTTGTATTTCCATTAATTTGGTACCTGGGGTTGGTTATTTTGTTGGCCTTCACAACTCCCTTGGACAGCCTATTCATTCTGAATTACCATTTTGGTAACCTGGGGACATAAAGTCTTGTAGCACGTTGGGCGCATTTCCCTATCATTCATTTGTGTGTGTGCCTGGTGAAAGGTATCAAAAGACGCATTTTGAAGAATCATGGTTTTTTTTTTTCATTTTCATGCCAAGGAGTCATTTCTGAACAATATGCTTTTTGATTTTTTAAGATATCTTCAGTAGCTTTTGATATATCGGTGATTTTGTTTTGGTTTTAGTAGAGGTTTTACGGCGCTCGCAACTGCATACGGTCATATGAGCGCCAGGTGATTTTGTAAGGCAGGGCACAGAAACAAAGTTTTGAGAAAAACGGCTTTCATTTACTTAAGTTTTTCCTTTGTTTCTGCTTCAAATAGATAGATCTGCGCTTCGAGACGACCTGACAACACATTCGCTACTCTCAAACCAACTTTAAAAAGCATCTTAGATGAAAGAACAGCTTCAAAATGTTTACATTACGTCTTCAAAACAAATTCGCCACCACCTTGAGCAAGCATAATTTTAAAGAAATTAGATCTAGGTTTGCGAAGGGAAGAAATATGCGCTACAATTTGCTCTCCAAAAAACGAAAGGGTGTGGATGCGCAAAGCTTCGATTTGTTTGCACGTTCTAGATATTCATGCGCACGACTCGCCATTAGACAGGGGAGAGAATGACGTAAATTTTGGTATGCAATGTGATTGGGTCGACCTATGAATGGACAAGAGAAACCATCCACAGTTTGTACTCAGAAAACCAATTTTCTCACACACTTTTGGGGATTATGCAATATACTTCGTGTTATAAAACAGTAAAAAATTTATTTTAAAGTAAAAGAAACTCAATTCCTTGTAAATATCGAAATATAATTAATGGCTTAAGAATCCATTTTTAACAGAACTTAGTTTTTGTCAAAAATTCTATTTTTGACCTTTGAAGCCTGAGTGATATCTCTGCTCAAACAAATGCGTCTTTTTGTACCTTTCACCGGGAACGCTCACATTTACTCAGTCACCCACTGAACTCCGAGTACATGTACCCATTTGCAGCTCGATAAACTTAGGAAAACAGTAAATTACCTATGCTATTATGCAACAGAGCCAAAAGTTATTACTTTTTAAAAGATATTCTGAAGCCTTACTGTCCAACTTGCAAGATGACAACCTGTATTTGGTTTTAGTTTGAGTTTGAGTTTTACGGCACTTGCAACACTATAGGTCATATAAGTGCTGGAGAATAAATGTGTCACAAGAGAGTAACATACACAAAAAAGGAGGAGGCCGATAGATGTTTGATAGGAAAGGAGCAAACCATACCAGAGCACCCGCCAACCACCCACGGCAACCTGTGTGTGATTAATTTTTTTCACCACAGAAAGTAATACATAGTATTAATAATAGATAGCATTTGTATACTGGAAATTCCCACTCAACAATATGCTATGAGTATGCGCTTTACGATCTATATTATTAACCCAGCAGACCTGATAACATTCTGAAACAATCTCAACTTCCTGTGAAGCATACAGTGCAAGCTGCCGTTTATAAGTGCTAAAACTAAAACAATCACATACTGACAAGAACTTTTGCTGTCTGTGGCCTGGTACCCATTCCCACAAGGATGAAGTGAGAAAAATTCGTGTAAAGTGCCTTTTCAAAGGACAAAAGAAAAATTCATTAATTCATTCATGTATTAGCACACATTGTTCTAGTTCTATTATTCCTGGGTTTTTTCAATTGTCAGCCTTGCCCAGTTTGTAGATACCAAATTCCCAAGAAATTGTTCGGCAATTAAAATTCAAAGTAAAATTTTATTATTTATTTAAGTCGAATCAAATGTTTCGGAGATCTCGTGCAATTACCAACACACCATCCAGAACAACGTGCCTACATAAAAAAATTCAATGGCAACAAGGCTAGAGGGCGACTGAGAAAGACCTGGATAGATGGAGTAAGGGAAACATTAACCACCCATGGGATCCCCCTCACCCGAACTCTCCGGCTGGCAACAGAGACACGTCTCTTTCTTCCCGTGACACCCAAAAGTGTATAAGCGGCGCATAAAAGTAAAAGTAAAGAAAAGATTTAAGTCGAATGAAGACAGCACATTAAGAATGATGTGGTACAAACAAAAAGGGTGACAGGAGTGAACAAATCTATCAAGAGCATGTACAATTAGATTCTAGCTAGGACTAGGACAGTCAATAACGGAGGAGTTGATGTTGGGGGAGTGCAAAAAAGGTAACTCATCCAAAGACTAACTTGACCACTGGAACTAGTAAAGAAGAAGAGTTGCTGGGACCTGAGACAAAGATCTCGGCAACAGAACACGGTTAGAGAGCAGGAAAGGAGTGAAAGGAAAAAATTTTAGAGCAGAAAATTTTGTTGCTGTCAGGTTTAGAACCTGGGACCTATTTGAATGAGGAGAGGCGAACACAGTAACCTCTAGACCATGAAAGCCCCTTATCTACATAATAGCTTTCAAACTGATGTAAAACTACATAAGTGACTGATCTCGATTGTTAGCATCAAGAAATCCTCATGTGTTTCTCAAAATCATGAAATGTGCAGTTAAATGGCTTTTCCTGTGGGCAGTTGGCGGGTGTTCTAGTGTGATGTGCTCATTTTTCCTATTCAAACATCTATCGTCATCGTCTTTATCTTTTCTCCTTTTTTTTTTGCGTTTGTTACTCTCTTGTAACAACACTTGTAATCTTCAGCACTTACATGACCTTATTGTGTTGCAAATGCCACAAAACCTAGCTATTCTGTCTCAAGGAACAACATTACATTGGGAAGTGCTGTTAATGTCATGGTAGGCTGGATAAAACAAAACAAGACTACATTTTCTTATCATGAAAACCTTTATTTATTTACATATAAAATATGAAAATATAGTATGGGTCATAATTAAAACTTTTTGGAATGTCTTGGGTGGAGTAAATAGTAAAAACACACATTCACAAATTGCCTATCAGAGGCAGGTTTCTGATTTCTGAATGTACCATAAAACCAATAAAAGGAAATTTTTGACATTTTCAGTCAATTACACAATGAAAAACTTTAACAAAATTTATTACATTCCCCCAACAATTCCAAGACGGTCTCAACTCTGGAATCAATAGAAGTTTGTATTTGTGAGGCACACGCGAAATATACAGCGTTAAAAATTCTTCCTTTGTTGGACAGGTCAGGGTAAAAGAAATCTGCTGCAAAATTGACTTCAAATTAAGTGGGAACTTGCCTAGATGCAGTTAACATACATATATATGCATAAATATATGCATAATGCAAGAAATTTACATAATTAAGAAGACTATCTTTATGGGTTAAGTTACAAACCTGACAAGACAAAGATTTTGTAACAATCAGAATCTACTATATCTAGGTTTAAGAACTAAAGAAATCTGCATGAACATCGAATAAACATCAAACTCAAACTGCCATTGTCAGCCCATGAGTGATAAGATTTACTTGAGGGGACCAAAGACACAATTTGATAAGAAGCAGTTCACATCTCAGAAACATTATCTAACAATATCTAACAATTCACATCCTTTAGGATTACAGACTGACCTTTCATAGCAGGTTAAGGGGCAACCATAAAGGAGCTAAAAGGGCAGGATTATGATAATAAAGTAATAATTTACACACGCATGCGTGTGCACCATGCTTTACATGTGAGAAGATATTCAGGAAAAGATTCACTTGTCTGTGCAGTTAAAGAGGTGGATGGCAATAGTAAACCACCAACTGTTCAATGACAGTGTGATCAAAACAGAAACAAAAATATCAGGGGATTACTGCTGTCTGTAATGGACTGAGCTTAAAAATTTGAAACAAAAAAGTCACAATTGTAGTGCGTTAATAATTATTTTAAGTTAATCCAAATAAAGTATTAAAGTGACTATATGCTAATTTTTCTGAGTCACCACTTGTTCAAAAAATAAAATTTTAAAAATCCCAGACAATCTATTACATGCAGTACAACACTAATAACAGTGGTGACTTACTGTGTTCAGTTCAGCCAAAGGATGAACACAACTTCTTCTAACGATTGCAAACATTTGCTATGAGAACAAAACAAGTTTGCATGAACATATATGACACTTATACTAGTCGTGTTCATAGCTTTGCTCATATGGTAGACAAATCACAATTCTAGAGAAAGTTTCTCTTTGCAAGACTTTGCACAATTGTCTAGTACTGATTGGCTAAGGAAATGAAAATTTTGGGCAGTCCAGCACACAATTATTTACCAAACTTTTTCAAACTTTCTTCACCATACCTGTAGAAAATATGACAGGTCTTCCATTGATTCAAATCTTTACCCAACGCAGTTTTCATGGTATTTCTGACCAAAGCCCTATGTATTTCTGAAATAAGTATACGAAATCCAGATAGCAGACAAAATGCATGCAAGAATTTCAAGAGCAACAGGAACAAGAATCAGTTAACAATAATTATTGCAGCCCTGTCATCTCTTACACTTAAACACTTTTCCGTTGCTCAAGTGAAGGTGGCTAGGTCAACACAAGCATATCAATCAAGCTCAGCATTTTGATATATTCTTATAAATTCATGGGAATGTTATTTCTACTAACAGCTATACATATTAAGCATTTTACAGGCTACCAGTACCAGATGAAGATTACTTGTTTAAAGAGGAAAAAAGTACCGGTACTTCTTCTCATGGAATTGAAGGAATGCTTCAAGCTTGCGAAGATAAAAAAACATTCATATTTTACACAGTGCACACATTTACACGTTTTAAAATTTTATGATGTTTAATTGCACTGTGTATATGTGCCACTGTCTACTTAATGTACAGCGCTAAATTAAATGTTCCTACAAAATGAAATAATACATATGTATAAATGTGGACTGTACAGTACAATGAAGTGAAAGGTGAGAAAGTATTTACAGTGCACTGCTGCTTAGATTGTATCAGAACACAGCTATCTAAGGCCATAAGATAAAGTAGAACTCATTAACAAAGCCTTTGACTCGGGGAAATTTTGAGAATAATGGTTTGTGTACAGTTTACAATTTTTATTTCCTTTCTCTTTACAAATAAAATTATATAGAAATAAAAATTCCTATAACACGGCCACAAAAAAGTACGCCTTTGTCAAACTTTATTTCCTAATTCAAGTCACTAACAAAATGTGTCACGATGTGGTGGAATCAGGCGCTCGTCAATTTTGGGCATGTGGAGTTATAGGTGCATGTAAAAGCTGACTTATTTGCCTTGCTTCTAATGAAATAAATATCTTTTTATCTTGAATAGAACTCAAGTGAGGTCTCCTGGTTTCAGAGATGAAATTAGCCAGAAAATGACCGCCAAAGTTTGGTAACTCCAATAGCTAAAGAAGACTTGAAAACTAAAAAATGACATATTTTGTGCATTTAATCAATGTTTTTCAATAAAATTCACACGCAAATGTGTTTTTATAGGACATAAAAGAGGTTAAGCCCCCAAAAAAAAATTCGAAAAAAATTCGATAAAAATTTCCAAACTTGCAGAAAATGCGCTTCTCCAATTTCGTTATTTTGATGAGCGCCTGATTTCACCACGCTGCCTCACAAATCATTTGAAAGGGGTAGAGTTAGAGGGAAGATAGGGAACCCAAGCAATGCATAGGGATATAAAAATTGCTACTTGCTGTGACACTGACTTTGATGATGTAGGACAACAGAAGGTGGGTTCATACACAGGGTCTTCAGTATCCCCACATATTGAAACAATGTGAGAAGCAGTACTGAAAACAAAACTCAAATCAGTCTAAAGTTTTTCTTCTCTTCCCTATTTTGGCCTCACAAAAAGAGTCTTTGTCACCAGTAATTTAATTAAGACCACCTCACAATATTGTGTGGGAAGGAGAAACAGACCAGACTCATCATCCGTAACCGTGGCAGTGCTCCTCTGTTGGTGCCCCACTCCTTGCTACAACAGACCATCCTCTTCCCCGGTCTCTGCTTTGATGTACTATTTCATGAAGTTGTAGACCACTGTCAGATTTTTACATTTTCATTGTATAATGTAGAAGGCCTTCCCTTATTTCTCTTTGCCTCTGTTTTGCCTTACAGCACAGTTATCAGGTCAAAAGCAGGTCAAAGTAGAAAAGAAAAAAATACAAGCACTCTGTGATTATTATAGAGTCCGGGCTCAAACAGAAGCCCAGGAGATACGCAGTCGGACAATCGTCAGAATCTATGGGACCTCAAAAACAGATGTGTGGGTTTGCCTCCCCCCCCCCCAACAAAAAAATAAAATAAAATAAAATAAATTTAAAAAACCAAAAACAAATTGCTTATCACTCCCAATGGTGCTTCAACTTTCCTAACAATCACCAACCCTGTTTCCGCCTTGACTGTGTGTATGTGACAACATATAAGTCCGAAGTGTTTCCAAATGGTGATTGAGCATGGTAAAAGTACACATGGCTGTGTCAGTAAATTACTTCTATTGACTTTTCTTTAAACTGTCTTGTCTACCTGTCAGAGAGAATCAAGTGCATCATATCTGAGTTCATCAACTGTACCATAATTATCCTTTTGATAGGAG